GTACAAATAAATAAATCTTTAAAAAAAAAAGAAAGAAAGAAAGAAGGTCATTTAGAAGCAGAGAAGCGGGCCCTCCCTTGTCCTTACAATGGGTAAGGACGCAGCACAGCAAGCTAGCCGCAGCCACTTCAGTGCAAGTTGGATCCCTGGCCCAGGAGGGTACCACATGGCGTGGCAGACCTCTCCTGACCAGCCCTCTGCTCCCCACAGCAGTGTACTTCTTCCATCTGCCTGTTCTGCTCCCCACTCTGTCTCTGGTGAATCCTCTCACTGCTCCTGCACCTCTGGCTTGTACCCCATTTCTGTGTGCATAAATTTAGAAGAAAAAAAAAAGCAGAGAGGATGGAAAGCATTATCATCTTCAAAATAAGATTATATTTATTCAAGGACTAAACAGTGAAGAGACAAGTCTCCAAAAGCTGAGTCTGAATCTTATCCTAAAGGGAAACTTATAGCCAGATAATTATAGCAACATTATGAATCAACCTTTATGAGCTAAACACTCTTAGTCCATTATTTCTAGTCCTCAAAGCTGTACCAGACTTAGATGTTATTTCCAATTTATACAGAATTAAGGTGAGCTCAAGAGGATGATTATTTTAATGTCAAGGCTACAAGCAGACAAATATAAGAGCCTTTATTTATCCAAATCCAAAACTGTTTTATCCACTGTTTTGCATCACATCCACTTGGACAGGGTCTTAGCCAAATAATTTGTAGTGCACAGCATGGTATTAAAAATGGTAGTCTTCAAGAACAAGGTAAGGATATTCCTTCTCAGCATTACTTTTTGAAGTTTTACTTCAAGTTCTAGCTACTGTAATAAGGAAAGGTAATAAAATTACATAGACTGGTGCAGAGGGTGAAATAAATTATATTTGTTTACAGATGACAGATTCATCTATGTAGAAAATCTGAATCACCCCCCAAAACTGACATTACTAAGTGATGATAGTAAGGGTGGGTGAAAACAGAATATTAAAATACAAATAAATTTCTTTCCTATATACCAACAATGAAAATTGGAATTTGACATTGTAAATACAATATAGTTTACATTAGCAACTTCCCAAAATGAAATAGTTAGGAATAAGCTTAACAAAATATGTACAATATTTAGACAAGGAAAACCACAAGACTCTGATAATAGATAACAAAGAAGCCTGCATACTGTATAATTACAACAATATGACATTCTGGAAAAGACAAAGCTAGTGAGACTCTGAAAAGAATGGTGATTACCAAGGGTGGGTGGAGGGTTAGATGGCTAAGCATAAAGAGGGTTTTAGAACAGTGAAACGACTCCGTATTATTCTCTAATGGTGCATAAAGATCATTATACATTCATCAAAATCCACAGAACATCCTACTAGATTCGACCTTAATGTAAGATATAGCCTTTGAAGGAAAATGGCTTGTCAACTAGGGAAATGGATGTGAGCAGGTATGCTGATCTGGAGGAGGATGATCACATGTTTGTGGGAACTTATGTGTAAAGATCTCACCTTTTGGCTCAGTTTAGCTTCACCCCTAAAATTGTTCTATGTAAAAAATAAAGCTTATTACTTTATTGAATGTTGAATGTTGATCAGTTAAAGATCACTTAAAGTTAACCTTCAAGCTAACGATACTAACTCCTGCTACCACTAATTCTCTCTATGGTTTATCTATTAGGTGCTCTCTTTTCTTGATGCTCCTGGTGCAACAGAGATTTCTATAATTGCTAAATGGAAGGTGAGATTTGCAATCAGGAGTCACCCTCATACAGGCCCCACATACAAGCTGATTTTTCTACACACTAGCCACGTCAGTGATTCTCCCCTCTTGTCTCACATCTAATCTTTGAAATGAGATGACTTTGACATGGGCAAAAGAAGTCAAAAGAGAATGGAGAGATACTAAAACAGAGAGGGCTGTAGTATTAATGAGATACTCCAAATGAGAATACCAGAAAGATTTTTTGAGAACATAAATGGAAGTTTCTATTTAAAATAATTACAGGAGAGAATAAGAAAGCAGTAGCCTCCTGGAAAATATGAGCGTCATGTAGAGTGTATTGCTTTTACCCTCCACCCCAGATGTTTCTTTCGCAAGCACTTAAAGCGATGGACCAGGCTAGGTCTGAGAGGATAGAACTGACATTATTTTGCTAGGAGGAGTTAACAATGGTCCTAAGAGAAACCCATTATCTCTGTCTCCTACGAAGATGTGCTGCAGCAGGGAGGCAGCCTCCTGTGGCACTTCATTCAAATGTCAGCAGAATAGAAGCAGATTGAGGTTTCCATAGAAACCACTGGGCATTTCAGGTGTTCTGGGGCATTTTGTTCTATTTACTGTTTGGAGAAAGAAGGTATACAGAATGGGTTCTCATTAATAGCATCCCCCCCCCCTACTCAAAGCTGACCTGGGCGTGGCCACGTTCTCTTTTTGTTTTACTGCTTTTGGGGGCAGCCCCATTACAGAGTTTCTCTCCCTCTGAGAGAGTGGACCGAGCTCCTATCAATGGCTCACAAATCCTGCCCACTCGCAGTGACTGGTCAGACAGCATCTTTTCTGTTGGACCAGAAAGGAAATTACAAATTCTCCTACCTAGATATTTACATTGAGCTTTTTTTTTTTCATGTAGAATCTTGCAGTCTCCACAAAATGTTGCAAATACCAGAAGTTAAGAACAAGTGGGAGGATTTATGACCCCAGTCAATAGCTACAAAGACACCAGGGAATGAAAGGTTGAGATTTCAAGGTATTATTCCAGTTTTCAATGTAAAAATCCAAGGCCAAAGGTATTGTTCCAATTTTCAGTGTAAAACTCCAAGTCAAATTGTTCAATCCAAATCCTAGCAAGCTGATTTCCTGGAGGAATGAGATCCCTTCCCAAAATATAGATAGAAAAATTAAAATAAAATTTTAAAATAAGTTTCTTTGAGACTAGAAACAATGCCTCGTGTGTCTGTTATACTAGAACATACCAAACTCATAGTGGACTACAGAAGACATGCTTAAGAAAGAAATCCAACACAAAATAAAATTAATAGTAATAGGAAACTTGCCTTGGAGCAGTTTTGGGCAGCAGGAACAGTTGATAAAGTGTGCATAGGTGCTGAAATCAGACACTCAATTTACATCTCATAGTGGACACGTAGAATCTTATTTGCTAGACAAGTCAACTTCTTCATGTGTAAAATGAGGATGTTAATTCTTACCTTGCAGGGTTGTAAGGATTAGAGGTCTTGGACAAGTTTCCTTTTTATCAGTATATTCATTATCTGAAACTGTGCAGTCGAGGTAGTTCTGAGATACAGAATTCCTTGTATTTGAAAGCAATCACAAAAGAACTAATCATAAAATTAATACCCATTCAAACACTTTTTCCCTAGTGTAATATTAGCAAGTTTCTCAACTTCTGTCTCAAATTATTTTATAATTTTAAATTCATTATTTGGTTTTTTCAGTCTCTCATATAATTACAATGCTGATTGATAACAATACTGAATTAATAAAGTATCTTTAGAAGGTACAAGATTGCTTGAAGCATAAAAAGTGAAATAAACAGGGGCATAGAATAGACCAGTGCCACACTCTATGATCACATGAATTACTGATGAATAACTTTTTTTTTTTTTAAGATTTATTTGTGCATACAGAACTGGGGTACAGGTCAGGGCGGGTAGGAGGATCCACCAAAGACAGAGTGGGGAGCAGAACAAGCCCACTGACGAAGTACACTGCTGAGGGGAGCAGTGGGCGGGTCAGGAGAGGTCTGCCATGCCATGTGGGTCACCTCCGGGGCAGGGATCAAACTCATGCTGAAGTGGCTTTAGCTTCTTAGTGCTGTGCTTTAACCCACTACCACGGGTTACCAGGAAGGGCCCACTGATGAATAACTTTGAGCAAGTAACTTAACTTTTCTATGCCTCACTTATTAAATGGAAAATGATACCAGGCTGGGTCTGTGTAACCAAGAGTGGGTGGGATGGTATGCGACTTTCGAGATAGGTTAGAGACTGCCATTTTTCTCTTAGTCATCCCCCTCCCATTCTCTGTCTCTCTGTAAGTGAGCTACCAGGGGGTACCCAGGGTACCCGATTTTTTTTTTAAGATTTATTTATTTATGCATACAGAGCTGGGATACAGGCAAGAGGTGCAGGGGTGGGGGGTGCAAGGATCCACCAGAGACAGAGTGGGGAGCAGAACAGGCAGACTGACTAAGTACACTGCTGAGGGGAGCAGCGGGCAGCTCAGGAGAGGTCTGACGTGCCAGGTGGGTCACCTCTGGAGTGGGGATTGAACTCATGCTGAAGTAAAGTGGCTTCAGCTATTTAGTGATGTGCTTTAACCTGCTGTGCCACCAGGGAGGGCCCAGGGCCCCCAAACTTTTAAGGGGGTCACACTCTAAAAGGCAAAGAAAGCATACTCTTCAACTTGCATGTCAGGGGAGAGAAAGAGAGAGGACATTCCTAATAACATTCCCCAAACGATCCGTCCCCTCATGGGTAAATGCCCAGCTAAGGCTTGGCCCAAAGTAGAGTGGCTGAAGTCAGAAAGCTTGACACAAATCTAAAGCACTTTCTGTTGGGGAACCACAAGAAAAGGACTAGGTAGCTCCCAGAGAGATGGGACGGAATGAAAGAACAAAATTCACAATATACCATCAACCTCCCATGAGGTAAATAAAGACAGGGGCTGCCACTGTCCGCCAAATCGCTAAAGTCCCAGGGGCAGCTTCTCCCTGAGTCTCTTACCCACATGTCTCTTTCCTCCATGTGTCTCTTCACGCCTCCTTCATTCCACCCCCAATATCTATCCACTTCATTCCTTCCCAGCTGCCCCCCCACTCCCATCCAGCATGGTATGCTGGGAACTGTAGTCCAGGGTGGCTGCATGTGAGTGGGGGTAGGGAAACTGGTACCTGTTCTGTCGTGCTGTGACTCACCTCCCCTCTCACTGGGATGCATTCTGTGACATCCCTAATGATGCTCCTTTGAAGGGAGATAATCGGCATGGTACAAACAGCCCTCTACACAGCAGGCTTGTTAGTCCTTTTTCCAAAAGCCAAGGATGTTAGAAATAACAAGTCTCCTGCCAACAGCCACAAGAGTTTGAGAGAAAATCGTCCTTCTGATGGTTGCAGTCACTTTCTTCAGTTTGTCTGCCATCGGTAAGAGAGACAGTCTGACAGATTCACCCAGACAAGTCCTTCTCAGATTCCTGGCTGATAGGAATTGAGATAATTAGTGTTACTGAAGGGGAACCAAAAAACGACCACCCCAAATTTGTTTGCCAAATGATTTCATGACAGGGATTCAGAAGATAAAATGAAGTTGCTTTCGTTATTTACACGTAACTTCCTCTCCAGAAAGGCCTCTCCTACGAAGACCTACTCTTATCCCTTGTCAAAGAAGGCAGAAATTAAATTTACTTTAAAGCTACATTCCCTAATCTACCCAGTTATAGAATAGACACCTAATGCAGAGTAAGCCCTTGTGTTATGTGTAAATTTATTTGAAAAAGAACTACACCTCCCATAAGATGCAGTTTATAATATTCATTCTAAAAATTAGCAGAAAATTGTGACTTTCACTTTTCAAAATATTAGTCTATTAAGCATGTTTGCTACATTATTTAGCGTGTCACCTTGACTCCTCTTTAACTAACCTACAAAGATCAGTTCTACTCGACTGATCCTTGTGCATCTTATTGTTCCGTCCTCCCCATTCTCTCTTCCTCTACCCACCTGACATATTCTTTCCTATTTCTGGACTGTGTGGCCATTTTTCCACCTCTGACCACTAACATGACTATTGCCTCTGATAAATATCTGACTTTCTCAGTCTCACTTCCTCCAATCTTGTGTTCAATTATCTCCTCCTCTAGGGACCTAAAATACATGATTCAAAAAATCTCAGCCACACCCCTCACACACCTGACTCTCCTTATCCCATTTTATGCCCCATTACTCTCCACTAATTCTATTGTGTCTTCTCCTCCTGGAACAGCTCCTGGACCCAGGGCCTTTGTGCCTCTTTGGCCACTTGTGCACTGACGTGTCCTCATTACCTAGAATAAGGCGTGCCTCTTAGTCAGTGTTCAATATATAATATACTTGACATATTTACTTAGGAGGTAAAATTAGTGTATTCCAATTTCTTCATTTTTACAGTAGCAGTTATTTAGATTTTCCTGCTCAGTGAGTTGTCAATAAATAGCAACAATGATTTGAAAGCAAACCTTCATTTATAAATAAAAGGCATTAGCTTGAGTAACTTAGGACAAGGCACGAAAGAACTGATGAGGCTGACAGGAAAATTGATCGGTGAACTTAGGATCTAATTAAGTCTTCATCACTGAACAAGCAACAGCAACAGATCTCATCATATGCGCATGTAAACCAGACATTCATGTCATTCTTAACAATCAGCACAGATGCTGATTATTTTCACTTGTATTTGAAAGCAATCACAAAAGAACTAATCA